ATAATCAGCAATGTATATTATATGCCATGAATAAATGACAATTGTGTTTTCATTATGTTTATTTTGTCGGTTGCATCTAAGCTTTAAGGAAGATCACAATATCATTTTTTGTTGCAACAGTACATAAATCTAGGAATCTATAAAATCTTCAATGTAAACATTAGCATGCTGTGAATCAATGTCTTAATTGGTGATATGTATATAAATATCTTCAGTTAATCAAAAATCAATAATGTCCATGTTCTATATATACCATGGTGATTAAAGTTACCTAACCAATCTGGATGCAATGTTAAGCATACAAACATATACTGACTGACTGAGTTTGGTTTTACGCCGCTTTTTAGCAATATTCCAGCAAGATCACCGCGGGGAACACCAGAAATGGGCTTCACACATTGTTCCTATGTGGGGATTCGAACCCAGGTCTTCGGCATGACGAGCCAACGCTTTAACCATTAGGCTACCCCACCACCCACAAACATATACAGAAATCCGTTATTGTTATACAGCACCTATTGGCTATTCATGGCTGTCTTTTTGTTATTGTTTGTTGTTTAATGCTCCACTCAGCAATAGTCCAGTTACATGGCAGCAGTCAGTAAATAATCAAATCTGTGCCAGACAATCCAGTGATCAACAGCATGAGCATTGATCTGTGAAATTGGGTGAGTGCGTTTAGTTTTATGCCGCTCTTAGCAATATTCCAGTAATATCACGATGGGCGAGACCAGAAATGGGCTTCACATATTGTACCCATGTGGGGAATCGATCCTGGTTCATCTGTGTGACAAGCCAAATGCTTTAAGCACTAGGCTACCCCACTGCCCCCAGAGCAATTTGGATACAGTGTGTCAACCAAGTCAGCGAGTCTGACCACCCTATCCCGTTAGTCGCCTCTTATGACAAGCATGGGTTGCTGAAGACCAATTCTAACCGGATCTTCATGTGTTCTTTTCATGGATGTCAAGGACAGAACGCTAGCAAGCATCAGTTAGAGGTACAGTGAGTGAGTGAGTGAGTGAGTGAGTTAAGTTTTATGCCACTTTTAACAATATTCCCGCAATATCATTATCACGGCGGGGGACACCAGAAATGGGCTTTACATACTGTGTCCATGTCGGGAATCGAACCGGGGTCTTTGGCGTGACAAGCAAACACTTTAACCACTAGGCTACCCCACCGCCCGTTAGAGGTACAGGACTACGTGGGATGAAAAAAACACTCTCTGCAGGAAAGATTCATGAGAATCAATCAAAGTCAGCAGTATGTATCTTTATAACAAAATACATTTATCAACTAATACATGACAGTTAAGTTCAGACAATTAACTACTGACAGATATTAACTATACAAGCCCCGTGACAAGATGATGGATAAATAATGTACAAATCAATTTTCAAAATCAATTAGATTTATATTTACAATTTGTCAAAACCAATGACACCTGAGTTCATCATGGTCACAGAGGCATACGTGAGGAAATATTTTCCATAAGTTAGTTTAGTTTTACGCCGCTTTAGCAATATTCCAGCAATATCTCGTCGGGGGACACCAGAATGGACTTCACACATTGTGTCCATGTGGGGAATAGAACCCGGGTCTCTGGCGTAATGAGCCAACGCTTTAACCACTAGGCTACCCCACCGCACACAGGAATATGACAAGCATTCCACAAGTGGTGATAATCACTGATATCTAGCCATATGCTATGGATCCACAAGTGGTGGCTCACAGCAATATGACAAGCATTCCACAAGTGGTGATAATCACCGATATCTAGCCATATGCTATGGATCCACAAGTGGTGGCTCACAGGAATATGACAAGCATTCCACAAGTGGTGATAATCACTGATATCTAGCCATATGCTATGGATCCACAAGTGGTGGCTCACAGGAATATGACAACCATTCCACAAGTGGTGATAATCACTGATATCTAACCATATGCTATGGATCCACAAGTGGTGGCTCACAGGAATATGACAAGCATTCCACAAGTGGTGATAATCACTGATATCTAGCTATATGCTATGGATCCACAAGTGGTGGCTCACAGCAATATGACAAGCATTCCACAAGTGGTGATAATCACCAATATCTAGCAATATGCTATGGATCCACAAGTGGTGGCTCACAGGAATATGACAAGCATTCCACAAGTGGTGATAATCACTGATATCTAGCAATATGCTATGGATCCACAAGTGGTGGCTCACAGGAATATGACAAGCATTCCACAAGTGGTGATAATCACTGATATCTAACCATATTCTATGGATCCACAAGTGGTGGTTCACAAAAACATGACAAGCATTCCACAAGTGGTGATAATCACTGATATCTAGCCATATGCTATGGATCCACAAGTGGTGGCTCACAAGAACATGACAAGCATTCCACAAGTGGTGATAATCACTGATATCTAGCCATATGCTATGGATCCACAAGTGGTGGCTCACAAGAACATGACAAGCATTCCACAAGTGGTGATATCTAGCCATGTTATGATCCACAAGTGGTGGCTCACAGGAATATGATATGCATTCCACAAGTGGTGATATCTAGCCACAGATCAAGGTTCCACAAGTGGTAATATCTAACCATATCTTTTGGATCAACAAGTGGTGGCTTACAAGAACATGACAAGCATTCCACAAGTGGGGATATCTAGCCATATATTATGGATCCACAAGTGGTGGCTCACAGGAATATGACAAGCATTCCACAAGTGGTGATATCTACTCTAGCCACAGATCAAGGTTCCACAAGTGGTGATATCTTACCATATCTTTTGGATCAACAAGTGGTGGCTCACAAGAACATGACAAGCATTCCTCAAGTGGGGATATCTAGCCATATATTATGGATCCACAAGTAGTGCCTCACAGGAATAGGACAAACATTCTGAAAGTGGTGATATCTAGCCGTATATTATGGATCCACAAGTAGTACCTCACAGGAATAGGACAAACATTCTGAAATTGGTGATATCTAGCCATATATTATGGATCCACAAGTAGTGCCTCACAGGAATAGGACAAACATTCTGAAAGTGGTGATATCTAGCCGTATATTATGCATCCACAAGTGGTGGCTCACAGGAATATGACAAGCATTCCACAAGTGGTGATATCTAGCCGTATATTATGGATCCACAAGTGGTGGCTCACAGGAATATGACAAGCATTCCACAAGTGGTGATATCTACTCTAGCCACAGATCAAGGTTCCACAAGTGGTGATATCTAACCATATCTTTTGGATCAACAAGTGGTGGCTCACAAGAACATGACAAGCATTCCACAAGTGGGGATATCTAGCCATATATTATGGATCCACAAGTGGTGGCTCTCTGGAACATGAAAAGCATTCCACAAAGATTTCACAAGTGGTGATATATATCCATACGACAAAGATTTCACAAGTGGTGATATATATCCATATGACAAAGATTCCACAATCATGAATATAAAGCCTGATTTTGAAGATTCCACAAGATATTACAAATTATATATTTCAGACGACACTTTCCTAGTAAAACACAAAATCTAGTACTTTGGGAGGTACGTCTCACTCAGGTCACATGATTAAGAATCCACTTACACAATCTATTCATAAGTTTGTTCCTGTAAATTACGATCAGGGACAGGCCACACTGGTCAAATCAAACTATAGTCCCCATTATTTATTTTTTTTAAATTAGTTCATGTAAAATTAGTTGTGGGTACTGACCTGACTTCCGTATTGCAATCTTTGCTTTATTTATTGCAAAACATACCACAAAATATTCCAAGTGTTCACTCAGCTGAAATTTCTTATCTAATGGACTGTCCCCATATATTTTTGACAAAGTCAATCCTATGTTTTCAAATGTCGCTCTTATGACAACGCATGTATTAATGTCAGTTGATACATTATATACAAACACTTTAATTTCTTCAATCAGATGAATCAATTTTGAAATTCATAATATATATTCAACATTTCACTAGTGTACAATTAACCAACAATTGAAAGTATGCACGGCTTCAAAAACACAATATTTGTACATTCCAGATGTACATTGAATCGATGTTTGATACCTATGTATAAGAATTTCAAATTGTGCACAGATATGTTAAAACTGACAGATTTTAAGAACATCAACTAAATTTTCAGTCGTCTTGGAAGAACAAACTTATAGCTGTGTTATTATTGGTTGATATTTAATTCAGCATAGGCCTGCTAAATGGTTGTTACAACATTTAGAAATGGATACCTTTGGGGAATTCCAAAACTGAAGTAAATTATGTAATCGCTGATGTGAATGAAGTGTCATAAAATATTGAATAATGAGAATCACTGAGAAAATATATGAGAGTAATAGTATCTTTTTCTGAATTAATCTGTAGTCTAAATATCATAAAACTTCAGTACGATCAAGATTAAAAACACATTTCATTTGATTAAAACCCTGACTGCTTGTAAATCAAGAATCAAGATGTTATAGAACAGTTTGCACAAAACATACTGAAGAAAAGTGTACAGGAAATAACTATTGTAGTAAGAGAATAATGACATCATTTGTTCTGCTTACAATCATATTTAATTTTCTGTAATTTTGAAATGTAACATGCATATAATCTCTTTATACGTTTAGAGTGTACATGTACTACAATAAATCCCGAAAGATATAAGTAAAGCCAAGGATTTGAGGATAAATAATCTTGACTAAACAATAGTGACTATCACAAATTTATATAATAAGAACAAGTACAATTTGCCAAAAGGATATTGTCAAATTGTTACACATCATATTTTGGATTGAAATGGTCGTTTTGTGAACATGTGAGACAAGCATGAGAAATTTATCAATTCTACATTTGAACCAAATAAAGAAACCGTGAAATTTACAAAACATATTGTATATTGATGTAATATTGTCTATATTGAATGTAATTGATATGTATGATTTGATCTAAATACTCAACATATGGTAGCCAAAGTCACTACTCACATCTTCACCATAATGCCAGCTGCTATGAAATCAATGATGCTACATCCACTGGCTTGTCTTGGGGTGTTGAAATTACTGTCACCACTCAACTGACGGATCAAATACTAACAACTGGAACACACACTGTCTATAATCAACCCTAATAACGATGTGGAACCGGCTTTGGAAAACAGAAATAAGAAATCCAATGTATCTCCGTTTCCATGTGACATCGCCCCCGCATTTACGTTCACCAAATGATAATTCGGAAATGCCAGCATGTGCAATGTAGAGTCTAAACCTCTTCAGCTTAATTTTACTTCTTGGTGAATTGAATGAATCAAAGCATTTTCCTAATCATCCTGATCTCGGAAGCAAAAGATGGGAATGAAAATTATTTTTGTGCCAGCTTCCTCAACTGTCAAAATCTGACACCTCCGCCAATGACAACAAATCGGCAACGTATGGGGTTGAAAATGTAGACAGACGTGAAGGTTTTTAGTGTCTGTCACAAAATAACAACAGTACAGCATCAGCGATGCACAAAAATCCTTCACGAAACATCTATACATTAAAAATAAGCAATCAAACTGACAAATTTCCTTTTAAAACTGACAGATTTCATCCCAATATGGTAAATTTGTGCACCTAAAATACAGTCTACCTCGACTAGACAACAGACTAAGGGTGCTATCTGCATCATACCATACGCAATTACTACTATATCTCAGAAAACAAACCTTATAAGATGATTCTATCGGGTAGTATACCTCGAAGAATGATCAATGGATGTGGGCTACCATACAGAGCATAAAATGGTAAAATATTTTATTACCTGGAATAAACGCCGCCATGATGAATATTTTGAGGAAATCAGCTCAAAGAATGCCGGGATACACTGCCTCGAAAGCGCTGGTTTATAGCTTTCAGTTATCCATTTCAACGCGAATGTTACTAATATAGTAGTATAACATGTAATACAGGGTAGTAGTCTTTGCTTTCGATACGTTTAATTGAATGTTATTTCATTTGACATACATTTTCAGTAGTTTTAGTGAATGTAGACATCACGTGACCTCTATGACGTCATTACACCAGGGAATCCCCTCCGTGCACTCTAAAATTAACATGCGGCAAACGGGGAAAGCCCGGTTAAATATGTAACAAGGCGTGTGCAACACAAGGAATAGTCTTTTCCTGTATATCTCGGGAAACATACGGGAGAATTGCAGGGTGAAAATATAATAATGAAACGACAAACATCCTGTATTTTACATTTCAACACGAACATGATTACAGTAAGCGTTTACAGACGCACCCTTGTTTGGGTAATTTTACGTGGCTAAAATTTGATGAATATTTTTTTCTTCTAAAGTATCTAAAAAACCATTTGGGGATTATCATACTGTAATTTTGCAATAGGTTCATAATTAATCTAAAATTACATCATCGGGGTTTACCAACTAGGCCATTTCTTAGGCCAAAAGACATATTCCTTTATTGACATGTTTCCCGAAACATTAATTATTTTCACACAAAACTTAAGAGTCCATTTTTAAAGATTTAATATCGTTTTTGTTAAGCAGTATACACGGACGAAACACTCTGAAGCGTGAAGAGACAACCCTGAGTAAGGGCTGAACACGGATTAGGAGAATACGAAGAACAATAGTAAGTTGTTTTATACACAATAAAATGCGGTATCCTTTTGTTATGCAGAGTGACATATTTATTTTTTAATGTGATTGAAGGGGAAAAGGCACTTATCACGAAAATTGTTCACGGGCAATCGCCTTCCAATGTTTGATCGTTTCATGGTGTGGTTACCGTGGTACGTAAAATAGAATGTTGTGTTAAATTTAGTGGTACATCAATCACATAGTCTTCATTGCTGTTTTAGTACGTCAAACGTACGGTCGCCATTCGGATAGAGCTACGCCAGAATTATCTATTGATACAGTGGTACGGCATAAAGCCTTCATGCCTGTTATTGTGGTACGTCAAACGAACGGTCGTCATTCGGATAGTGCTACGCCAGAATTATCTATTGATACAGACAGTGGTCCGACATTATAAGTTGTATGCTTCTCTCGAGGGTAATACCGTCTGATGTACGCCCGTTTGTAGCAGTGTCACCCGAGCCCGTAGGCGAGGGATCACACTGCTACAAAAAGGCGTACATCAGACCGTATTACCCGAGGGAGAAGCATACAACGTAATTATCTTACCGCCATGTTAAATGTACAAAATATCATCTTATTGTATGTTAAAGATCGCTACCGACTACATGACATGCAAACAAAATGGCGTCTGCCTCTCGACTGGATTTTTAACATCAGTGAAACATATTCTGACAAGCATAAAACTGCTATAAAATATGTTAATTATGTTTAAGCTGAGTGTGCAAACCACTCAATGTATAAAATAGCTTAAATAAAGCAGTGAAAGTCGGTAAAATAAATCTGTACAAAGTGAACACAAAAACAGCTGATCAAACGTTTTCGAACTCCGGGCACTCCATGCGTCATATTATGACGTATTACGATTGTTAGCGCTTCAGCTTCTTGACGGATAGCTTGGCGTGGTTACCGTGGCAGCGGGTAATATTTTTGTCCAGTTGTCACCCTCATGGGAAGGAATATTGCAAAAATGCGGCGTAAAACTAAACTCACTCACTTTATGTTAAAGCTGTTAAAGCCACAGTGTTCAGTATTATAGTGGTACGTCACAGAACCCTCATTGCCGTATAGTTGTCCGGTCACACCTTCAATGTCAGAGACGTACGTCACACAGCCTTCAGTATTATAGTGGTACGTCACAGAACCCTCATTGCCGTATAGTTGTACGGCCACACCTTCAATGTCACCTTCAATGTCAGAGACGTACGTCACACAGTCTTCAGTCTTATAATGGTACGTCACAGAACCCTCATTGCCGTATAGTTGTCCGGCCACACCTTCAATGTCAGAGACGTACGTCACACAATCTCCAGTATTATAATGGTACGTCACAGAACCCTCATTGCCGTATTGTTGTACGGCCACACCTTCAATGTCAGAGACGTACGTCACACAATCTCCAGTATTATAATGGTACGTCACAGAACCCTCATTACCGTATAGTTGTCCGGCCACACCTTCAATGTCAGAGACGTACGTCACACAGTCTCCAGTATTATAGTGGTACGTCACAGAACCCTCATTGCCGTATAACTGCCCGGCCACACCTTCAATGTCAGAGACGTACGTCACACAGTCTCCAGTATTATAATTGGTACGTCACAGAACCCACATTGCCGTATCACACCATATGTACGGCCACATCTTCAATGTCAGAGACGTACGTCACACAGTCTTCAGTATTATAGTGGTAAGTCACAGAACCCTCATTGCCATATGGTTGTACGGCCACACCTTCATTGTTAGAGACGTGATACGTCACACAACTTACATGTTATAGCATTACGTCAAATAGTGCTTAACATTGAAGTGGTACGTCAGACAATCTTCTGTACGGCCACATCTTCAATGTCAGAGACGTACGTCACACAGTTTTCAGTATTATAGTGGTAAGTCACAGAACCCTCATTGCCGTATGGTTGTACGGCCACACCTTCATTGTTAGAGACGTGATACGTCACACAACTTACATGTTATAGCATTACGTCAAATAGTGCTTAACATTGAAGTGGTACGTCAGACAATCTTCATTGTTAGTCTTATAGTGATACGTAATGGGTTTTTTGTTTGTTTGTTGTTTAACGCCGCACTCAGCAATATCCCAGCTATATAGCTATCCAGTGATCAACAGCATGAGCATCGATGTACGCAACTGTGATACGATGACATGTGTCAAGAAGTCAGCGAGTCTGACCACCCGATCCCGTTAGTCGCCTCTTACGACAACCATATGTTGCTGAAGATCAATTCTAACCCGGATCTTGACCGGTACAGATGATACGTCATGTAGTCTTTAGTGTGATAGTGGTAGTCGCATAGTGTTCCGTATTTAATGTTACAGGGTCTTCTGTGTTTGACCCGTGAAGATCCAGGTTAGAATTGATCTTCAGTAACCCATGCTTGTCGTAAGAGGCGACTAACGGGATCGGGTGGTCAGGCTCGCTGACTTGGATGATACATGTCATCGTATCCCGATTGCGTTGATCGATGCTCATGCTGTTGATCACTGGATTGTCTGGTCCAGACTCAATAATTTACAGACCGCCGAAATATGGCTGGAATATTGCTGAGTTCGGCGTTAAACAACAACCAACCAACCAAACCAGTGTTTAGTGGGACACTGGGTCGTCAATAACTTCTGTGTTATAGAAGTAAGTCTCCAAACCTTTGGTGTTAAAGGACGCGGTACATCACATGGTGGTGTGTCATGCAACTTCAGTATGTGCGACACACAGACGTAAAACACTATAATTAGTACGTCACACAATCGTCAATGTCACATGACATAGTGGAGCGTTACAGTATTCATTCTTGCTTATAAACCCGTGAAGATCCGGGACAGAATTGGTCTTCAGCACACCATGCGACTAACGGGAACGGGTGGTCAGGCTAACAGACTTGGTTGACAATTTGCGATGCTCATGCTCTTGATCACTGCACTGTCTGGTCCAGACTCGAGAATGTACCGACCGCCACCACATAGCTGGAATATTGCTGAGTGCGGCATGAAACAACAACAAAAAACATTCTTGTTTATAGTATACATGTCGCAGAGTCGTCGCAATTGTTCGACTTTATCCTTTATAGAGGGGCGGTGGGGTAGCCTAGTGGTTCAAGCGTTCGCTCGTCACACAGAAGACCCGGGTTCGATTCCCCACATGGGTATAATGTGTGAAGCCCATTTCTGGTGTCCCGCCATGACATTGCTGGAATATTACTAAAAGCGGCGTAAAACCATACTTAATCACTCCTTAATTGATGCAGTGCCGTGATTGCCATTTAACAGTTACCAAAGTATTTACATATATAGACCAAGCAACCATGTCGATATATGTCTACGCGTTTCGCATTTTCTCAGTATTAATAAG